TCTAGTTTGTGTAGAAATCAAAATGTTCCAAAACATTTTTTTAAATTTTTTTATATACTTAATTGATTTTTTACAGAGAGGAAGGGAGAGAGATAGAGAGCCAAAAACGTCGATGAGAGAGAAACATCGACCAGCTGTCTCTTGCACACCCCCTACCGGGGATGTGCCCGCAACCATGGTACATGCCCTTGACCGGAATCGAACCTGAGACCCTTCAGTCCGCAGACCTACGCTCTACCGCTCTACCGCTGAGCCAAATTGGTCTGGGCCAAAACATTGTTTTGTTAACTTCTAATTGTTTTACAAATTTTATAATCAAAGTAAAGCTGAATCAGAATAGGAAAAAAAAAAAAAAAACACAGGTAAGGCCAAAACTGGTTTGGCTCAGTGGATAGAGTGTCGGCCTGCGAACTGAAAGGTCCCAGGTTCGATTCCGGTTAGTTGTGAGCACATCCCCAGTAGGGGGTGTGCAAGAGGCAGCTGATCGATGATTCTCTCTCATCGATGTTTCTAACTCTTTATCCCTCTCTCTTCCTCTCTGTCAAAAATCAATAAAATATATTAAAAAAAAAACAGGTAAGGATACACAGAAAGAAAAAGGATCCACTGAGCTCAGGGAAAAAATAGTCTATAATTCCTATAATTCAACACTTCAATTGCCAAAGCAACCATCCCCAAATTACACACATACCAGTTGTTATATTTGCCACTTGGAATTCAGGAGAAAAACTGGTAAAACAGTTGTCAGGTAAATAGTTCCAGACATGCCCAACAAGAGTCTATCCCATGACATTTCTAAACATAGTCTGAGTTCTAAACTCATTTATAGCTGGAGGCAGTGTGGTATAGAAAGAGCACAGCTGTGGAACCTGTGGAACCTGTCAGAGTTGGGCAGAAATCCTAGCTGCCAATTACTATCTGATCCAACAAAATTCACTTAACTTTTTTGAGTCCTAATTTCCAGATTTTTAAGAGAATATTGCTTTCCCTAACTGGTTTGGCTCAATGGATAGAGCGTCAGCCTGCGGACTGAAAGATCCCAGGTTTGATTCCGGTCATGCCATGTACGTTGGTCGTGGGCACATCCTCAGTAGGAGGTATGCAGGAGGCAACTGATCGATGTTTCTCTCTCATTGATGTTTCTAACTCTCTATTTCTCTCCCTTCCTCTCTGTAAAATAAAAATATAAATAAATAAATAAATGAATAAATATATCTTTTAAAAAAAGAGAGAAAGAGAATATTGTCTATCATAGAGAGGTTTTACAAGGAGTAAAGATAATACAAATCAACAAGCAGCATCTATGACAAAAATAAGTACTCAATAAATAGAAGTATGTATATTACCCTCATCCCTTCTCTATTACCTTCTCTGTTACCATTTTTTTGTATCCCCTATCCTGCAGTAAGCACCCTAACTCAGCATTCATTAAATAGAACTTAGAATATACAATCAGAAAATCTGCATTTGATTCTAGGCATTATCTCTTATGAGATATGGAACTTTAAGTACTGAATTTCTCTGAACCTTAACTTGCTCATGATAAATAAGTATTTTAATAATTGACTTCATTTATAAATTGGTATAAATTGTTCAGTACAGAAATTTTAGCTTTTACCTATACCAAAGTGCTCCTACTCAAAAATATCTCCTCCAAGATAAAGTGTGCACAATGAGCAAATGAGCATAAACTGATGTCATAGGAGGAAGAAATAAACTACTAAGTAGCTCACTGATGAGATCCCTTTTATACTCCCAAACTTTAAGATATACTTGTTAACCTAAATAAAACTCATTTATTGAAGGAAATCCAAGTCAAAATTTTAAATTAATATGTTTCTGCCCTTACCCAACATAGCAATTTGCATTCTGAGAAACCTTTCTTAAGCAGTCTCTACTCATTTTAGCTTAGCTCACTTCCTATTCCCCCACAATAGTCTCCATGATAAAGGCAGTGTGGACCTTTAGTAGAGTGAATAGAACTGTCTAAATAAGTGTGTTCAAACTGAAGACCAACTGTCCTTGACATAATCTACTAAAAACATTCAAACTGGCCAAAAGATGGAAAAAAGGCAAAGATTTTTCTTTGTCTCTCTATAAAAAACACTTTCTATTTTAAATGTTATTTCCCTGAAACAATTTAAAAAATCCTGTCCTGTTTGAGAGAATGTACTTTTTGGACAAATTTTGCTATTAATAGTACAATTTAATAATTAAAGTCATTAGGAAGTAAAAACAAAACAAAACAAAACAAAAAAACTAATGAAGAACTCAAAGACTCAACCACACTACAGCCAAAAGAACCTGTCAACGAAACACCTCAGAAATCTAGCCTAGCTGGTTTGGCTCAGCGGACAGAACATCAGAATGCCAACTGAGGGACCCCAGGTTCTATTCAGGTCAGGAGCACATTGCCTGGGCTGTGGGCCCGATCCCTGGTGGGGGGCACGCCGGAAGGCGGTGAATCAATGTTTAGCTCATCATTCATGTTTCTATATATCTCTTTTTCCCTTCCTCTTTGCAATTAATAAAAATCTATTTTAAAAAAATACTTTGGTGTAACTGGACTGTACTTCCAAATTGTAGAAAAACAACAAAATGAAAACTGAATTCTCAATATAAAAATCACCTAGGCAATAATTTAACTAACCTTAAGAAAATTCTCAAAATGTAAGCAACATATTTTCCCTGAGAGATTATTTATGTAGGGTGTTGATTATAACCCAACTAAGTATACAAAGAATACAGAAAGATCTCAAAAGACATTCAAATGAGTATTTTTAGTTTTCTTGGTTCCCTATGCACAGCACCAAAGTTAGCAGTACAACAGCTCACAAATGAGCTACCACATCAACTTCCACAAAATCTTCATCTTTTTCTAAGCCTGTCTGAGCCTCAGGATGGCACCTAATGCATCATGCAGTCCAAAGTTGAAAGGCTAGTAAAATAAACATCTCTTTCCCCCGGTAACACTAAAATACCTCACTGATGTAAAGTTTAGGACCACAAAAAAGAAAATTGGAGCCACTACTGGTGGCTCTTGGTACCATGGTACTAATAGTACTAGCATGTTTAAAAGAGGCTACATGAGAAATAATATGGCTTATTTTAATCAGGGATATTACCAATAAGTCTAAAAGTGCTTCAAAGTTACATGATGGTAGCAGGAAAAGGAAAGCGGTGGGGGGGGGGGCTTAACAGCAGACAACTACCTGGAAAAGAAATAGTTTATCCAACTACCAGACAGGATAAAACATGTTTGCATTTGCCAATACTTAGTAGTTACCACACCATATATTTGTCAGACTTTCCAACATGCAAAACAAACAAATAAAAAAGCCACCTTTGTGAAGTACTTATCTTCTGACTTCTATAAAGAAATTACTTCTAGAATGGGGGTAAATTAACTTCCTCCCCTATTTCCTTGACTCAATTAAAATCCTTAATACCTTCAGCAAACTAACAGTCACCTCAATTTGAAAGCTTTTCATGTTAAGTTGAATAAAAGTTATTATTCTATTTGAAAGGCATATCCACACTCCTAGATTTTAGAGTATTTTTAAAAGGCTAAATATAAAGTTTGTAAAAACAAGAAATACAGTAGATATGGCAGTCATTCAACAAGTTTATCAGTAAAATTCCTCAAGTAAAAGTTTAAAAAAAAAAGTGAGATAAATTCCTAGCAGTGCTACTGAAGATACAATGTTACTAATATGGAAACTGAGAAATATTCAAAATATTCTGAAAACAGAATCTCCTTCTAAAAATAAAGAGGAAAAGCATTTGCCAACATAGAAACTACTGGTTCTTAAAAATGATAATCACATGGGAGGCTTTCTATAAATACTTTAGTTCTGAATTGCAATAATCCTAATCTTTCAAAGCATGTTTTGGTCATGCCTTATCACTAACAAGAGAATTTTTGGTGCCATTATATTGATACAGAGTATTCTGCTACTTTTTTTTACTTCAACTACAAACTGTTGGCTTATGAAAAGATCCATAAACCAAACCACCACACCATAATTCACTTTCAATCATTAAAATAAAAACTAGCAAGTATCTGTCGTAGTTAAGGTCCCCAACTTTTTCTAATCTACAATAACTAATACCGTATGGTTCTAAAACTGCATATGTACGGTAATCAATTTGGAGGCATATTATATACAATTTATTAAGTTGGAAAGAGAGAAACCTTCAGGAAATAAGCAACCGGCGATTACACCATTCTAGTTTATTTAAGAAGCCAACAATTCAATAACTTTTGGGGAAGGGAGAATTTAAGACATTTCCCAAGCAGTTAAAAATCACTTGTTTTATAATAACGATAGCCCTAACAACCTCTGGACATACACTATGGTGGGGCGGAAGTGAAAACGTTGGGGGGTTTGGGGGAGAGCCCGACTTGAAAACGGGCAGGCGGACAGATGCAAACCTCCAATTAGAGGAATTGTGAGACGAACTTCTCTTAAACGTCCTCCCTCGTTTCCCACCCGCTTCCTCCACTCCTCGGGGAGGTCTGTGTAATTGTGACTCATGACAAAATTTCTAAGCAAATAAATAAATAAATAAAGAGACACACCCTCTGGGTTGAACTGACATAACCGCCCCCGCGGCACCCTCCCTCCCCGGACACAGACCCCGCTTCTCCTCTCCCTCCTGCGGCTCCTCCCCGCGCCTCCTCCCCGCCTCTCCCTCTCCCCGCGCCCCCGGGCCCGGACCCTCCCGGAGGGAGGCCCCGAGGCTGCCGCTGGGCTCCTGCACGAGCCGGCGGAGGGCAGGCTGCTGCCGGCCACTCGGGGGCCGAGCCCGCGGCGGGCCTCCCCCGCCCTCGCCCGTGCTCTCTCTCCCCTTCCACGGGTTTCAACCACCTCCGCCACTTCCTGTATCGCAGGCGACTCCCTCAGCGCGCCCGCCGGCCGCCTGGGGCTTGCGGCGGTGCGGGCGGCGGCGGCGGCGGCGGCGGCGGCCCCGGCCCGGCCCGGCCCGGCCGCGCTCACCTGTATGTAGTTGTTCTCACAGTAGTCCGCCACCCGGGTCAGGTTCTGGTAGCTCTCGATCAGCGCCCTCTTGCCAGACGGGATTTCCTCCTCTAGTAACATCTGCAGCTCTGCCATTTTCCTCCCCTCCGCATCGCTTCCTCTCGCGTTAAAGAGACAGGCGGCCCGGTCCGCGGAGGCTCCGAGCTCGCAGCCCGGATACAAACCACTCACCCGCCCTCCCGCCCAGTATTGTGGGGCTGCGCCTCCTCCGCTTCCTCCTCGCGGTCCCCACCCCCTCCACCCACTTCGCGCGACGCTTCCTGCTCGTTCTCTCGCGAGCCTTCAGCTTTGCCCTCCTCCTCCCCGACCACAGGCTTTTTTTTTTTTTTTTTTTTCCTCTGACATGACTTTCTGGGAATTGTAGTTTCACACAGCCTCCCCATCGAAAGCGCATGCGTCCTAAAGAGAACACGACTGGGGAGTTGGGAGAGAGGGAAAGTGCGGAGTTTCCTAAAAGCTCCTGAAGGAGGCGCCTCAGGGTGATTCCAGAGAAGAAAACATCCTTCCTTCCCCCAAGAAGGCTGTGAAACTGCAGAACTTTGAACATGGAGCCTACCTCACCCCATGCTCCCAAACTTTATTCGGGATTTATCATAGGTCTAAATATAAATGTAAAGCAATAAAGTTTCTGTAGGAAAGCATAGAGTAATTTCACAAGCTTGGGCAGGCAAAAGTTTCTTAACTAGAATACAATAAGTACTAACAAAAAAAAAGGGAGGGGAATGATAAATTGCTCTTTATTAAAATGAAAATACAACTCATTTTTTTCATGTTGCTGTTATAACAAATTTAACAACAAGACTAAACTAATTTACTCTCTTACAGATGTGGAAATCAGAAGTCTTGGTTGGCTAAAATTAATGTGTAGATAGGGCTTTGTTCCCTCTGGAGGTGCTAATGAGAATGCATTTCCTTGCCTTCTTCACCTTGTAGAGCCTATATGCATTCCTTAGTTCACAACCCCTTCTTCCATCTTCAAGTCAGCAGGAGAGCATCTCTAATCTCTCTCTGACTCTGCTTCTACCACATCTCCTTTTCTCTGACTCTGACCATCATCCCTCCCTCTTATTAGGACCCTATGATTACATAGGTTTCACCTAGATAACCCAGGATAATCTCCCTATCTCAAAATCCTTAACTTGATTACATCCATTATGTCCCTTTTTGCCAGGTAAAATAATATACTCAGTTTCCAGAAATTAAGACATGGACATCTTTGGAGGGCCAATAGTCAGCCTACTATAGCCATTATTAAAATTAAAACATTTTGTTCATTAAAGGACACTATTAAGAAAGTAAATAGAACCCTGGCCAGTGTGGCTCAGTTGGTTGGAACAGTGGCCCATACTCCAAAAGATGGCTGGTTCAATTCCTACTCAGGGCACATACCCAGATTGCAAGTTTGATCCCAGGTCTGGCATGTGTGGGTGGCAGCCAAACAATGTTTCTCTCTCTCTCTCAAATAAATTTAAAAAATAAAATAAAAGGTAAGCCATACACATACCCTTGAAAGAGGAAGCATTACAGAAAATACATTTTTTTAATCCAGCTCCTCCAAGTCAATTAAAAGATAAACAAATGAATAAAAAATGTACAAAAGAAGACAACTGTACTTCACAAGAGGCCAAGAAATATATGAAAAGGCATTCAACTCATTACTCATCAAGAATATGCAAACTAAAACCATGACAAGATAACAGTACATTCTAAGGATGCAGTGCAAAATTAAAAAGACTACTTGCATATCCATTAGAATGGCTAAAATTTAAATCCCAATAATAGCAAGTGCTAGTGAAATGTGAAAAACTAGACTCAAATACATTACTGGCTACAAACTGCTACAGCCTTACTGGAAAAGTTTATTAATGTATTATCAAGCCAAACATACAGCTAATTTATAACCCAGCATTCTGTTCGCAAATATTTACCAAGAGATGTGAAAATTTATATCCATACAATATCCATTATATAAATGTTTTAATAACTTTACTCATAATCGCAAAAAGTTGGGAACAATGCATATGTCTTTTAATTTGATAAACAAACCATATTCCCAAACAATAGAGTACTGTTCAGCTATAAAATGAAATAAACTATATATAAACATAGTCATGGATGAATCATAAATGCATTTTGCTAAGTGAAAGAAGCCAGACACTCCACTCCACATCCCAAAAAAGGCAGACAATATCTAATGTTGACAAGAATGTCTTGCATCTAACACACATACACACACACACACACACACACACACACACGCACACACGCACACATGCACACACACGCACACGCACACAGTAGGGTATATGTATGAGTATCCTAATATATAAAAAGCCAGGTTCCATTATGACTAAAACAACCAGACAGATGAGCAAACAGCAGGCTGTGTGGGGCAAGCAGGTCGGACAGGGGGTGAGTGAAGGATGACCAAACCACTGGACAGCAGGCTGCATGGGTAGACCAGGCTGATGCGGGGGTTGGGGGAGGAGGAAGCAATTGGGAATCACCAGACTGGTGGGGGGGTAGGAGGAGGAAGTTGAGGTGACCAGGCCAGCAGGGGGCAGTTAGGGATTATCAGACCTGTATGCAGAGGTGGTTAGGGGTGATCAGGCTGGTGGGGGTGGGGGCAGTTAGGAGTGATCAGGAAGGCAGGCAGGTGAGCAGTTAGGAGCCTGGATTGTGAGAAGGATCTGGCCTAAACCGCAGTTGGACATCCCCCAAGGGATCTGGCTGGGCTGAGAGGAACCCCCTCCTGTGCATGAATGTCATGCACCTGGCCTCTAGTACAAGTATAAAAGTGCACAATCACTTTGGAAGTATCAATGTGGTTTGGCTGTACATATTTTTTAAAATCCTCACCAGAGGATATTTTTTTCATTGTTTTTTAGAGAGTGGAAGGAAGGGAAGAGCAGGGAGAGCACAAGAGTGCGAGAGGGAGAGAAAAACACTGAGGTGAGAGACACATAGTTTGGTTACCTTCCAAACATATCCCAACCAGGGCTGGGTGTCAAACTGAAACTAAGATACATGCCCTTGACTGGGAATCGAACCGGCAACTCTTTGTTCCATGGACTGACACTCCAACCATTGAGCAAACCAGCCAGGGTTGGCAGTTCATATTACATTGATTTTAGAGTGAGGGGAGGTTGAGAAACAGAGAGAGAGATCTACAAGCATTGGTTGCCTCCCACACATGCCCCGACCAGGGCCTGAGATCAAGCTTCAATCAAGGTACTGGTATATGCCCTTGACTGGAATCGAATCCAGGACCCTTCAGTCCTCAAGGTGACACTCTATCCACTGAGCCAAACCAGCAAAGACATCTGTGCTATTTCTGTAATATCTGAATTCTTTTTCATGTGTAGCCACCAAAATACCTAACCAATTATTTTAATAGTAAACAAATATTAAATGGAGATTTCCTTTCTTTCAACAAAGAAGTGTCCTAGCTTTTGCTGAGTAGCTGTCTGTGTGCTTGGGCATGCCTTTAATTCTCTGGCAGGAGGTTTTCAACTCTGCCTTCACATCTAATTCAGTAGAACCTCAGAATTAGGGCCTTCTCAGTGTCTTCTGGGCATATGCACAACTCTGCATACATGCAAGGGTTTCAAGACTTATAAAATATGCTTTTCTGAGCTCTTCTTGGATATCTCATTCTCCAGATTTCCCTTTTAAGTTTTTGAGTAAGCTTTTAACTTACCCCAACATTTATTGCTGCCCCAGTCACTGCAATAATAAACAATTTCAACTGATTGGTTTTGATTAATTCCCTGAGGACAAAGCTATTGGCATTGAGTGAGTTCTGAGTCAAGTAAGAAACAAACTCGTAGACACAGACAACAGTATGGTTGTTACCAGAAGGGAAGGGGGATGAGGAGAGGGGAAAGAGGGTAAAGTGGAGCAAATATACTGGGTGGGGAAAAAAATAAATTTACAGTTATTTTTGGAAAATAATACAGTAATTAATAAATAATACAAGAATAAACTGTTTCTCATGCTATCAACTGTAAACCTACTTTTGCCCCACCCTGCGTAGTGATGAAAAGAGATTAAACTTTGGATGGTCAGCCCACTATGCAATATACAGATGATAATTATGGAATTGTACACCTGAAACTTATATAATGGTATTAAACAATATCACTGCAATAAATTTAATTTTTTTAAAATACATTTTTATTGATTTCAGAGAGGAAGGGAGAGGGAGAAAGAGATAGAAACATCAATGATGAGAAATAATAATTGATCAGCTGCCTCCTGAACATCTCTTGGGGATGGAGCCTGCAACCTGGGCATGTGCACTTGAAGGAAATCCCAGACCTTTCAGTCCTTGGGCTGATGCTCTAGCCACCGAACCAAACCAGCTAGGGCAACATAATAAATTTAATTTTTTTTAAAGCCCTGAAAATGGGGCTTTTCCAGGGAGCTGCTAGCCAGAGCAAATAGTGACAATTCTCTAGAGGATGGAACTTTTGGGGGCACTCCAAATCTGTTCTTCCTCCTCAGGTGGGCTCTAGATTGCTGCTTTCCAAAGCACTGTGATTTCCGGTCAGTTTGTTTTCTTTTTTAAAATGTTTGTATTGATTTCAGAGAGGAAGATAAAGGGGGAGAGAGAGATAGAAACATCAATGATGAGAGAGAATCGTTGATAGGCTGCCTCCAGCAGTCCCTCAGGCATGTGCCCTTGACCAGAATCAAACCAAGGAGCCCTTCAGTTTGCAGGCCGACACTCTATACACTGAGCAACATTGGCTAGGGCTCTGGCGGTTTGTTTTCAAGGCTACTATAGAGATAGGGCAGTGTTTTTCAACCTTTTTTGGGCAAAGGCACACTTGTTTCATGAAAAAAATCACGAGGCACACCACCATTAGAAAATGTTAAAAAATTTAACTCTGTGCCTATGTTGACTATATATAAAGTAATTCTCTTGAATAGGAATCAAATAAACACAAAGAAAGTATTTTATAATTACTTTATTATGAAATATTAAGTAAACAAAATAGTGAAAAATTATAAAATTCTTGTCTTGTCTGCACCTACGGCACACCAGGCAACATCTCACGGCACACTAGTGTGCTGTGGAACAGCGGTTGAAAAACGCTGAGATAGGGAGAGAAGAATGAAAATAGGGCAAGTTAAAATACAACAAAGCTTGTTATTCTGAGAATCAGGGATTTTTTTTTTTTAATAAATCTTT